GATAGTTACGTACAGCGCCATCTGCCCGCGAATAGATCAAGCAATAATGCCGATTATTCTGTCAATACAGATCTCGAGTTGAGAGTTACAAACCAACATACATACATACAGGTGAAGCTAACATAAAACGTTCAACAAAAAGGGATTTATGCGTCGATATGTGAGAATGGAAAAAACATGACTATATCGTTTCACAACAGAATCAAAACGATCGTCATTTAAGTGGACTGCACGTGGTAAACCGACTCCAAAGCGTGCAAAGACGCAACAGTCTGCTGGAAACGTTATGGTATCGGTATTTTGAGATGTGCATGGTATAATATTCATTGACTATTTCAAAAAGGGAAAAACAATAAACAGTGACTATTACATAGTGTTATTGGAGCATTTGAAAGACGAAATGGCGGGAGAACGGCCCCATTCGAAGAAAAAGAAAGTGCTGTTTCATCAAGACGAAGCACCGTGTCACAAATCAATGAAAACTATAGCAAAGTTGCATGAATTGGGCTTAGAGTTGCTTCCGCATCCACCGTATGCTCCAGATCTGGCCCCCAGCGACTTTTTCCTGTTCTCAGACCCACAAGAGATTGCTCGCTGGAAAGAAAGAGGTAATCGTCGAAACTGAGGCCTGTTTTGAGGCTAAAAACAAATCGTACAATAAAAATGGTATCGAAAAAATTATATGACCGCTATAACCGTTGTATCGTCCTCAAAGGCAACTATATTGAATAATGAAATCAAATTTTATTAAAATTCGAATCCTGATGTTCTCGAAGAAGATGGTAAATAAGTATCGTTAATTTTTTAGTGATGGAAAAATATGGACTTGAGTTTCGCACAACAATTGGAGTAAACAACTTCGGAGCGCCTCGTATAATAATCTAATCCGCGATGCATAATCTAATTATTAATTTATAACTTGAAATATATCTAACATGCAATCGATCCATTACTTTTAATTGATAACTATGATAGATACAACCAACGTTAATTAAAAGAAATTATGTGAACACGTAGCTAATAAAATGTTGTAATTTACTTAACAACCCATGAAATGATTTCTTTGGGACTTGCTTTCTATTCGAAAATGATTATATGTTTCTTTTTCCGGCAATATTCAAATTGACATAAGTGCACCGATTTGTTAATGAATTGTTTTGTTTGAATTTAAATTAATTTGACCTTTTCAACTCAAAAATGTATTATCATATGCATACGGAGTAATTACTGATCGAAATTGGAAATATTCAGCATTCCCAACGTTTCTACAAAAACCTGCCAGAAACTACTACATCCCTGGTTAATACCCATGAAGGACATTGTATTCCTTTCAACACCAAATTAGTTGTTATTGTAGACTTTAATTACCTTACACCATCTGTACTTTTCCAAAACACTTGAAAACAGACAGGAAACTGTAATTTCTAGTAGATGAACTCATTGTTATGAATAGTTAAATGGATAATATACATTATTAGTTATTTTTTAACGGGATTCATGTATTACATGCTCAATAAATTAACGATTACTAGTCAAAAAATATTTGGTGGTATATGAATTAATATACGACATAACAATAAAAACAACAGGTCAAAAATAACCTCACAGGAATCTCGAAGGTACGTACTCGTTTCTTCCTTTTCATAAAAGAGGGCGTATGCCTCTCCACTCACAGGCGATTTAAAATGCTACTTCGAGATATTCTTTTTTTTTTTCTCCATTTCACTGAAATTGTCAAGTTTCAACCTTTTTCAAGCAAATAATGCCGATTAAAAACATTTTCCACTTAATTATGCATGTTATTCCGTGTTAGGAATCACACGTTAAAAGGTAAGACCTTGTTAATCCTTATCTCGCACAAGTTTCGCCTTCTGAGGGTTGTCGTTCGTAGGGGTGCGACAGCTGGTTAACCGGGAAACAGAAATAAATAATAGAAATATATCCTCAAATTCATGTTGAATAAAAAATTGTCCAGCTGTAATTATGCAACCAATAATACTTATAACGTATTCAAAAAGTTGCCTACAAGTAAATTATTTCAATACAGTTTTTCGTGATCGGGTCTTGTTATATCTGTCGTTTTTTGCATTATTTTGCATTTTGCAATATTTCACGCTCAAGTCTTTAGAATCCTCAGGAACACACACTGTTTTCATCTCAACACTTATTTCTCTTCCAGTAGGGCAGATAAAACTCACATAACTGAAGCCTGTCAATCGGTTCTAATTAATACAGAAATTAGTTCATTTAAAGACTTCTTAGTGCAACCTGTCCCTTTAATTAACCGCCTGAGGTAGTGACTAGGCGTTCTCAGGGATATGATTTCAACAACAGTTCAACAGAATAACATTGTGAAACTCACTCAAAATGAAATCCCGAAAAACGACAAATGTTTTGTGAATAAATAAGTGCGCCATCTGTGTGATCGACAGAGAATTCAATCCTCCCCAAGGCGGTCAGTTGCAAAGCCAAACGTCGACATCGACCGCCGACGAGAATCGTTTTCAGTCTTTTACAGCAGCTTTCACCGCACGGCAACTGATTGAAAACCAACCAGTGCCCAAACATGACGCATTTATGATTCAACACCAGACAGCGCTTTTCCGACCCGCCATAGATCTTCTCAGTGGTGTTGGGCCGAACCACAAAGGCGCTACACTCGATTGTCCTAAGAGGACCAGCCTTAGAGGGACGATATCTCCCCCTGACGACGACGCCATCTATGGAATCGATGTACGTCAACGAAATTCAGGATCTGCCAAAAACATCGCCGCTGTCTGTGAGAGTGTGCAGGAGAATCCGAGGCAGTCGATTTTGATGATAACTCACACACTCTTTATTTTATTCGAATTTAAAGATAGGAAGCACTTGATGGAAGACCCTATATTTTGAAATCTATGAAGTTTTGGTTGCACATATAGAAAAAAATCATCTTTACCTGTGATCTGAGAAGCGGAACGTTGATCAGAGGGTCTTCAGGCTGCCCAGCTATTGTTTTTACACCCATTAGCGATGAATTTGTTTCACAAAGCCCGGCATTGTGTTGAGGTAAAATACACTGTATGAATCTCAGTTTTGTTCTTCTTAGAGTCTCGACAAGGCCATCGATTGTGAACTTTGTCTGAAAAAAGAACCTCAGTTTACAAGAGCCAAAGATGGAAAAGATGAAGAACATTGAGGTTATGTACTGTACAGACATATAAACATACTAGGCCCTTTTCATAATAATAATAATAATAATCATCATCATCTTTATTTCAGAATATGTCAACAACACAATAAACATATAATTGACAACATATAATGAAATGACGTCACTGAGGTTTACAAGACACAATAATCTTGCGTAAATAGAAATATAAGATGCATAAATAAAGATAATTTTTAAAATTATGATTAAAATACTCCGCAATATTACAAGGTTCCAGATGTATGAGTACCTTTTTTATTTCTCTTTTGAATTTATTGATGCTGACCAATGCTTTTATTCCACCTGGTAATTTATTGAACAAACTAATGCACATGTATTGTGGGCTATTTTCAGTTACCGTGAGTCTGTGAACAGGGTAGTTGATATTTATATTCCTAGTTTCATATTTGTGATGGAAGTAATTTATAATAAACAAAGATTTATTTTGAAAAAAAAAACATTAAACATTCATACATATAAATTGCATAAATGGCCAATATATTGTTTTATCGGAAAATACTACTACATGATTCCCTATATGGCATATTTAAGATTATTCTTAATGTTCTCTTCTGAATGATAAACACATTTTCCGTATTAGAACTGCTTCCCCAAAACATGATGCCATATTTAGCAGCTGCTTCAAAGTTTGCATGATACATAATTTTCATTGAACTGAAATTTAGAAATCTATTGCGAGTTCTCATGGCAAACACAACTGAATTGAGTTTCATGCATAATTTTGTTATTTGCTCAGACCAGCCCAAATATTCATTAATGTGAACACCTTAGTATTTAGTACAAGGAGCTATCTCTTTCTTTCTATTTTTCATATTTATGCTTGATGGACGTCCTATCTGTAGCTGTCTTGGACGAAACAGGATCGTATTAGTTTTTGATTCATTAAGAATCAATTTATTACTTTCAAACCACTGTTTGGTACCGCCAAATAGATTACTTGCATTTTGCATAAGATCAGGAAAATTATTGTAATGAATCTGAAGCCGACCCTGACCGACGTCCCAGTCAGCAAACGCATGACGCATCGCGAAATAGCGCGAAAGGTCCGGATGGGTCCCGAAATTCGCAGAGGGATCTGAAATGTTCGTTGACGATATAAAAACGTCGCTCTACGTCCCGAAGAGTAGTCTGTACCAAGAAAGCGAATCGAGTGGTTAACAAACGGTGAAGATAAATTAAGCGTTAGTTTCTGAGTGGTGTAAATAAATTAGTTGTGATAGTGAAGTATTGTTAAAATAAATTTGTTTAAGACAGTTAATTCTTTAATTCGTTACATTGTCACCCCTGCATAAAAGGTTTGTGTCATCAGCATGATTTGTAATAAACTGATCTCTTCAATACTGGTGCACATAGATCATTCATGAAAATTGTGAAAAATATTGGACCGATAATACTACCCTGTGGTATTCCGATATTTGATGATATTTCAGATTTATAAATTTTTCCTCGATTCTTAATGCACACTCTTTGAGTTCGTTCAGTGAGATAAGATTTAGCCCATTCCAGAGCATTCCCTCTAACACCATATCTCTCTAATTTAACTGTCAACAGGTTTTTATCCAAACAATCATAAACCTTGTAAAGCTCCATAAGCCTTGGAAAGGTCCAAAAACATTCCCAAGGTCAGTGACTTTTTTTCCATGAAATATAATATATTTTGGATGAACTGAAAAATGGCCGACATTGTTAACCTTCTTTGGATATACCCATGTTGATTTTCACTAAACATATTGCATTAATTGAAGAGGTCAATTAATTGTGTACATAGTAATGATGATGATGGAGAGATTATAAATATTTTCCCAAACTACACCTAAACGATTTGATCTCCACAAACTTTATTGAACAAATATATCACAACATGTTTCGCTAAACATACCATTCACCGATGGAGAAATGATAAAAGAATGCTTGATTGCAGTAGCCGAAAAAAAAAAGATTATAAATATGTATGAAAATATAGAATGTATCATAAATATACACACAAACGTAATGAAGAATACTAAAGTAAACCTTGAAATATAGCAAATAAATCATGAAAAGTATACATGATAAAATATTAGGATGTTTCAAAAGTTATGTCCGTTTTGGAAGTTGGTGGAACAACAGACGCGACGTTCTATACATTACACCTCAGTACACCTCTTACATATTTGAGAAACGAAACAATAACAAAGATTATCACCTGAAGGCAAACACTCTTCCTCTTTATACCCGCAGCACCACCAGTGAAAGTTCTTCTGATACTCGAAGCTCTTCTCAATGACTGGCAACCATCCAGGCCAACCAGAGAGCCACCAAAACTTGAGGCACCCAGCCCTCTCACAGTAACGAATAATTTACTAAGATCCTCCCTGGAATACAAAAAAACATTCGAAAAAATCTTCCATGTTTCAGTAATTCAATAAATACTCACTTGCAACTTTCCTGAAGAATGTTGACAGCAGCTCGAGCTACGGGATTTTCCCTGCTACACTTTAACCAGCCTTTGGCACTGTACAAGACAGGATTCGTTCCTTGGAGATGCTGAATTATGAACTGGTTGTTTCCTGGAGCTTTCCTCAAGAGTAGCTGATGGTCCCGTTCCCCGTAATGGGTGAAGAGTCTTTCGAGGAAGGAATCATCAGATGAACCAGGGTAAATAGCTTCCTCATCTAGGAGCCAAAGGAGACCGCGTCTATCTCCTGGAAATTCAAAACAGAATGTTAATTCTGGAGGGCTTACCAATTTTTTATCATACTATATAACTCAATGTTAAATTTTTGTTTTCGATACCAGACGCTAGGTCTGACGAAAACATTAACGGAGTTGTTTATATAGTTCTTCTCGATAATCAAAATAAGACCCTTGTTTTTTATGCAGTTTCCAGTTGAAGGAAAAGATAAAAATGATCAAAACTCACTCTTCGAACTCCTAAAATTGTAATTTCAAAAACTACACCTCACGATTTGATCCTCACAAACTTTATTTTGAAAAATATATCACAACATATTTCGCTAGCACAGTAGCTTTTTCAAGTGATTTATACTTCAAGTTGTTCTTACATTAATATTTATATACTACAGGTAACCACAATGGGGAATGTTCCTCAATTTGGGTTATTACAGCAAATGCCAGTTTGATTCTTTATTATTTTTAACTAACTTTCCCTACTTGTTCTATATGTAATTTTAATATCACGTTTCTTCAAAAATGAAGCCAATCAGAAAAAAAATCCTAAAATTGTTTTTCAAATTAAAGGGATTGATAGTTGAGAAAGATACTCGTATGTGTTACTCTTAAATATTGATAATTTAATGGAAAACGGCCAGGAATCTTGCTTGGATAGGTGGAAAGACCGATGATGTGTTTTCAATTTGTTAATTAACCTCAAGATGCATAAAAAATCCCTGGTGTGATTACTTGGACTGCTTCCGCATGTGAAATATTTCGTCAAAAACTCTCAACGCACCTACATAAAGACATAAAAACGAGGTCCTATTTCCCATTCACAGAGGTGCTGAGTACACTTAAAAGTGACACTGCTTAACAATGTCAAATCGGTAGTTCAACTTTCAATATTATTTACATCTGAGAATAAATGTGAACGATTCTTTAAATTATGATCCATAAGTTCAAGATCTGATAAAATACGTGCGACACATTTCAATTCTTGCACCATTTATCAACATGTGTGCAAAGTTGGGTCAATCCCATTTGCAGCGCCGAGAGTTTTTGACAGAACAAGAGCGAATCTGTTCAAATAGCAGGGTTTCTATGCATCTCTATTAACCTCAAACGTGTTTTGCGATTTTTACAATGGATAAAAATATCGAACAAAGAATTTATCTTGAATTTTGTACTGCAACTGGAGTTTCGTGTGCTAAAGCGCAGAAAATATAGCGTTAAGACTTACAGTGAATCGACGTTATCAAAAACACGTGCCTATGAGGGGTACATCGCATTTAAAAGCGGTTAAAATGTGATAGAATATTTGCCTTGCTCTGGTCCAGGGGTCTCCAAACTTTGAAGCCTTCGGGCCATAATGATTTTTTCAGTTTGTTCCAAGGGCCAATTTCTGCCTTTAACTATATTTCTAAACTAGGATAGTCGCAAAGTGCATGACCTAAGCAAACATACGCTTTTTGCATTTCAATTATTATTGTGTATTGTGACACTTAACGACATCTAGTGGTGAGTAGTGGTACTATGTACTATCTTTTTCAGCTACCCGCTAGGTGACATTAGGCGTAATTAAATATTTGGAATTACCGCGTTGGTTCGAGAAAGTTCTGGTTCTAGCTAGTTTATTCAACTAGTACCAAAAGATCTGAATTTACGGTGAAAACTCAATCGCGTAAAGGTCGCTGAAGACATCTTAGAGCGAGTCACATTAATAAAACGCATTGTACCTGGTCATGAGACATGGGTTTACAGAGTTGATATGCAAAACAGTCAAGAAGCTTCGGAATGGCTTCTCCAACTGAGCCGAAACCTAAAAGATCCCGTCGTAGTCGATCAAAAGTGAAGGTTAACAGTTTTTTTCTACTACTGCGGTGTTGTGCACTTAGAATTCTTGCCAGGAGGTAGGACAATGAATTTGGATGAATTATACATATTTCCGTTACTTTTTTGACAAAGTACTGTTTCATTATTTTCTACTGAATTACAAACCTTCATGCAGATCAGTCTGAGAAGTCCTAATCACAGTATTTTGAGCAGTTTTATCCAATAAGTTGACAAGCGGCGTTGGGTTTATCAAATTTTCGTTTTCATTCTCGTCATAGGTGAAATCAATGTTCTCTTGCAAGTATCTATCTCTTGGCGCCACCAGATTTGTATGATGGAACAGAAGTTGGAGACGCTCCTGGAAGTAATTGTGGCACAGATCTTCAAACGAAGCTCCCACCTGACGTCCGCAAGTCGCCGGATTTTGAAAGCCTGGTGTGTCGACTAGAAGAATCGAGGTAACTGTGTATGTTGGTGTCGATATTGATCTGGAATGATAACAGAGTGTCACACAATTTATATTTGCTCAAACGTATCTGGACTGTAGGGTTGAAAGACCTCGAAAATCCTAGTGAACTAAATATTTTTCAGTGAGGAGTTCCTCAAGGAAATGAATTAGGTCCACTATTCAATTATTACTACATTGAGCTCGTTGATTGATCATATCCAGGAAGTAAGTAGTCCATAGCTCAAAGTGGAGGTGATCAATCGCAATCAGGATGATAACATTTTGGATACGACCTTGATATCTATCGAAGAGGTATTCTTTAAAGCTCATGACTCTGTCATAACATGGAAGTAGGTCAACAAGAGATGAATACCTAAGTGTAAATATGATCTCAATTATCTTAAAAATTGATATAAGGTAATCTTTCAATGACAAAATTTATGGAAACAAATATAACAAAACATTTAGAAATAATCGAAGAAAAATACTTCAAGTGTGATTTACAATGAAAAAAATTATGGAGTTCTCTTGAAATTCATGTATTTTGAAAAAAAAAATGAAAATCAGTTATTTTGAAATGCCATATTAATCTCAATTTCAAAAACTACACCTCACGATCAGATAAAATGAGCATTAAATGTGTAGTACCTTAGGGATCGGTCCTCGGGCCTCTGCTGTTTATAATTATATATAAATGATCTGGCATATATATCGATTGAAGACAAATTCACAAGTTTTGCTGACAACACGTCTATACTTTGGCATGGAAGAAGCACTGATGCACTAAAAATTAGGGTAGAGCATGATATAGGCAATGGTGTGATGCCAATTTATTATCCTTCAATATATCAAAGACTAATATAATGTCCTTTAAATGTAACCTGGACCATATAATTCTTGAAGAACACATCATTGATCATAAACTAGAGAACAAATTTTTAGGCCTCAACATAGACAACAAATTAAAATTTGGAACGCATATTAGTATACTATGCAAAAAATCATCCTCAAGTTGTTATGCGATACTAATTGGACTATCACTCTGCTAGAAAAACATACTTTCCACTTTTCAAGTCCCACTTGCAGTACAGAATTTGTTTCTGGGGGAGCAGGTGTCAAAACTTATTGAGTCAAGTTTTCACAATACAAAAAAGAACAGAATTATGCCACTCGTCGCACATTCACATTCACTGGCAACCATAAACCAAACGTGTCATAGCTGAGAGCGTGAGAATGCCAAATGTTCCCTGCCGCTCGAGAAGCAGCAAGAACTTCGGCGAAAATTCTACGATGTTCGGTAACGTTATTTAAGCGCTGGCGGCGGGCATATCGACACAGTCAAGTGGACGTTAAAGTGCGGTACGCGAAGTGATTTAGTAAGGCGATAAAGATTCCAACGATAGTTGAAGTTTTAGTTGAAGTCTTTTTGTATTTTAAGTAAAATAAAGTTAAGCTTGATTATTCAGTGTAGTCAATTATTGATCAACCCACGAGGAAAAACGTAACAGTATCGTAAGTGATTGGCAACGGGGATGGGAGAGTGGCACGACTGGACAGCTGTTTTACAGGTTCTGTAAAACAGACGGGTATGAATCATTGAATCGGAAGGGGGTATAGCTACTAACTGGGCATGGCAACTTCCCGGGATATTTGGCCAGGTTCAACATGGGACCGCAGGTGTCGTGTTTCTGTGGTTATGGGAGCCTGAAACGGCAGATAATGTGATCGAGAGATGTATGGATGACGACAGGACTGGATGACGCGAATGGAAAGAACGCCTGGAACCAGAAAATGGGAAGATTATATTGAGAGGAGAAAACGGAAGGAAGGACAAGTGGATCCGGTTTGTGAACGAATGGACAGATAATGTAATGAGGGATGAACGAGAAGGATGATTGGTAAGCTTCCAGCTTATTGCTGATCAAAAGAACGGGACTGAAGGCTTTTTCAATAATCTCCCCAATCAGGGAGAGCATGTTAGGGTGGTTAGATTGTATATACAGTCAATTAGGTATATAGTTCATTATTTTAGTTATTACCTGATAAGTAGGATATTAAGTTGATTTAGAGGTAATGTATAACCTGGGCCATGTACGTGAGAATTAAGAAAACTGAATTTCGCGTCGGTGGCACGAAGAGGGGAAAGGACGGAGGAGTAAGGGTTGCTTTGTAGTGGTGGCGCTACACAGCGGGAAGATGCTTAGCCTTTGGGCCAGGACAATATAAGCAATGGCGCTTTTCATGTCATCAAAGAACAAGCCTGAGAAAATAAGTGATATGACATATCCCCTTACAAAACGCCACCTATGGGCGCAATAGTGAAGAAAATTAAATAAATGGCACTTTGAAGAGGTCACAAAAATAATATTTCCTAGTATCAGCTATCTGAAAATTAATTTTAGAGTGTTACTAACTCAAGTGGGCAGACGACAGTCCCATTAAATGAATTCTCTTTGGCTATTTTGTAACGTACCTGTTGATCAACGAAGCAATGCAATTAAAAACTTCGGCATAAAGTCCTATGATGATTCCTTCAACGGCTTCGAGACCAACAGCTTCCCTATCGAGGCCTTTGTCAGTCGGGGAAGGTGTTCTGAATGGTGCTCTAGGTGTATTGGGTGTACCCAAGCCGCCCGATGCTAGACCGAACATGACTCTCGACAGTTCTTCCACGGAGGTTCCCAGTAGATTGGCAGCTCTCTGCGCACTTTGAGGATTGGCGAATTGGTAACGATTGTTGTTGCCGGCTACAAAAAAACAATATTTGGGTTGTTCCAGTTGATAGTGTATGTTCAGTCATCGTGAATATCAAAATCAATTTTGTGCCTAATTTATCGGCGAGTATGCAAGGACGAATAACCGCTTACTCTTCACAAGAAGATGATAGCTGTGTGAAGAAAAAAACTACTACGACATTGACAAGAACACAGTCGCCGTAACCCTTCCTCATTATCAACATTTCAACAATATATACTACATGGGCCGAGGAGTCTCTGGCCTAACAGTGAATATTTTCGGGAAAGCTGTTAGTGTACGTTCGTATACTGTTATTGATGCGATTGGTGAGTTCCTGGGAAAGGATGGCCATCCAAGCTACATATTTTCGCCAGCAACATGAAAGTCAACCACTGAGGTGAGTGTGGGAGAGTTTTGTCATTGGCGATGTATATTTGTATATATTTCATAAATACAGTCCACTTCTCAAGAAGTCTCGCCCAGTGTATCAGTCGTCTGAATAAGACTTGTCTATATGTACAATCTGATTGAAATAAATGTTGAGACGTATTCAAAATGGCGGTTTCAATAGTTTCAATTGGCGGAATACTAATAAATGAATTTTGGACATGAAACGATGTACCAATTTCATCTTAATTTCGAACAGGTTGGTGATTACTGATCATGGGATGGCGACATGAATGTGAAACCCTTGCCTGGCTGGGGTGTTATGGATGAAGAGATTGTTCATCTGTTAACGGGGGACATGAGGGCCTCATTCGACAGAGTGTCTGGGCCTCTATATCGTGAGGAGTCGTATACAGCATAACATATAGCTTCCCTAACTAACGGATTAACGTGGGTTTCTGCGCAATCAAAGACTTGCCGATTTCTCTACTAAATGGACTGCTGAATGGAAGGCAGCTGCAAATCTCTGCGGATGGCTTCATTCCGTACGAACCACGGAGCATTCACAATCATCCGTATCAACTTGTTTTGCAATATCTCCAGAATGGAGATATTAGGCGGATCCGTTTGTCCTCAGACGCCTGAAGCATACATGATGACAGGCTTGAACATCGTTATACGGATCGTAATTTTGTTCTTTAGGCTCAGTTTGGATCGTCTATTGATCAGAGGGTACAGACTTCTGATACGACCCTCGATCTTTGCCTTCACGACTGTGATGTGCGGGTTCCAGGTATATTAGAAGACCGGGGTACTTTACCCGCGCTTGCCAGTCAACCTCCCTTTCAGAGATCCTCACTTTTCTAGCCGGAGAAGATACTATTCTTCCCATGGTTCACTCGGATCTTCATTCGAGGTACCAGCACTCGAGGTCGTCCAATGCACGTTGCATGTAGACGATCTCGAGCTCCCGACCCATGGAAGATGACAGGAGAGCCATCTCATCGGCGTATAGAGATATCTCGGACCTTGGGAGGTCACTGGTGTAAAGGGAATATAGCGTGGGAGAAAGCACATCATCCTGTGACACTCCAGCAGTGATCTCTCTGTTGTCAGACAGAGAGCCCTCTACTCTAACCTGAAATGTTCTGTCTTTCAGGAAAGAACCAATCCACTGGATCAGGCCCCGAGGCAGGTCGAAGGCGACTAGCTTATGCAGAAGACCTTCGTGGCAAACACGGTCGAAGGCCTTCGATATGTCTAAAAGAACGACATACACTTTACGATTATGATTTAGCTCTGCGATGGTATTTTTGATCAGTCTCAGTGCCTGTAGCTCAGTGGAGTGTTCTCTCCTGAAGCCGAATTGTTCGTCAGGCAGAACATTTCGGTCCTCAACTTCTTCGTTGAGTCTTTGCAGAACGACTCTTTCAGCCAGCTTAGCCGCCAACGAGAGCAGACTGATCGGGTGTTAATTCTGCGGGAACAGCAGGTTCTGACCCTGTTTTGGGATCATGACAATGATCGCATGCTTCCACCTTCGGGGTAAGTATCTGAGGGCCAATTAACTATCTAAACGATGTAAATTTATCGTTATTAGGAACAGTAATGTTTTTAATGTTATTCACTAATAATTATTTATACTAAATCGCGGTTCGAAGTAATTAAGGGCAAGTAGTTTGATTATATTTGACATGTTAAGTTACTCGTACTTCAATAAATGAGATATATCTAGAAAGCTAACCTAAAAGTACTACTCAAACGTATAATAGAGCTCACCTTTTACAGCACCAGCACATCCCAAATGAAAAATGGCTGCCAATACCGAAAATATCAGCTTCTGTTCGTTCGCCGTAACTCCAAGAATGTCCAACGAATTGCACACCTTCACGAATTCCAGCTGAGCCCTCTGTTTGTCTTCGTGTTTCTGGAGTAGATTCATGAAAGGGTTGCTCTCGTTACCCGATAAATTGTCCAGGAACAGCTCTTTTCTCAAAGCACCTTCGACTCCCGACAAGAGCCGATGCACTATGTGGAACGTCGTTTCGTTTTCGATTTTTTTCGCGATTCTCGTTTTTTCCAACATTAGAACTTGCAGGCTCGCTGAAGCTATAGCTCCGCTCTGATCGAAGTCGAGGCTGAAGATCTGCGTGAATCTACAACGAAGAAAATAATTGATAGAGTAACCACTCGCACCCCTGATTCTGGAGATCGTTCTGTTCACATTGAAAACTGGTAACAACAAGGTTTATCATTTTATTTTCATTTACTGATCAGTATTTTGTTATCTTCAAATTGTTCTCCAGTAATGAATTATGAAGAAAAGGTGGTATTCAATGAACCCGGCGGTGATTTTGTTATAACCTGAGAATATATACAGACCTTGTCGCATTAGAGTTCATCACCGTCTTGCAATTTCCGAAACTCTCCAACACGGTCCATACCGAGGATAGTTTCTCCAACGTGAGGATCTTATTCACCGTACCCACTGCTGTGACGAGGTACTGGACGCAATGCCGGAAATTGGAAGTTTTTCCGGATCCGGATCTGCCGAGGAAGACGAGACTCTGGTCCCGTCTGGTGGAGAGCATCGCGTGGTACGACGACTGAGCCATCGAGTAGATGTGCGGAGGCATGTCTTCGGATTTGCAGCCTTTGAATAGCGACACTACCTGTTGATATGGGCAAAAGTTGAGAAATCATTGAAAATTTTCACGGTAATTGAGTCAATTTTACTATCAATGATAGTGATTTTTGACTTTTCANTTGATGAATCGTATTTTCGAAACATGGAATAACCCAACGATGTTATGAATTCCGACTCAGTGAACAGTTTCAAAAACAAAATAGACATTTGCTTATTTGCTTAATCGGCTCTATGCATATATTAATTATTTTTCTTTTCTTTTTGCATGCATTGTATTAACTTGTTGATATCCTTCGTTTTTAGGCTTACATAGGACTTTGTCCTCAGTCTTTATTTATATGTAATAATAATAAAAATTTTATGGAGGATGCGTTTCACTAAACGGAGATTTCATCAGTTGAACTAGTACATCAAATTATTCTACGATTTATATAACAGTAGGTAATGACAAAGATATAAGTCCTAGTCCATGTTGAAATTGTGACTGTCTTCTAAAAAGTGGCAAGCATATAGGTGGAACTGGTTTCCTTCAGTTTAAAACTTTTGTTATGTTCGTAGATTCTTGTTCAGAAATATCTTGAAGTCCTTCCTATATAAACTTTTGGGTCAAGCCACATCAGTTAAGCCCTTCTTCAAGGCCTGCTACAGGCGTCACATCACTATATAGCACCGACTTTGTATCCATCATGGTCCACTTTTTTTTTTGCCGTCGCACTCCAGTCCATAATAGTCAGCAACTAAACGTTAGTTTTTCTCTCAATTTTTCGAAAACAAGGGAACGGGTTTTAGGATATTACTTTTCACACCCAGGGGTCGATCAGGGTGATCAATTCTAGCTGTTCAGCATGTTTAGATTGTTGGTGAGAGGCATAAAAGTTACAAGTGTTTTGCTTGTTCCACATTCTGTTATCGAAAAAAATATGTCAAAGAATTTGCAACAGATTTTATTTAAAAAAAGGAATTTAGTGCTCTAAAATACTTAAAGTATTGACAGTGGCATACGATGATTGTAGTCTGAGTCAGAAACATGTTTACAAGTAGTACAAACTTTACTCAGAAGGTCGAGAAGTCCATCACAAGTATATTTCGAGTTATTGACCAAGATCAATGAGTGTGTTATAATAATTTGCTAGTCGACACATGGTTGTAAGAGGAGATCTGGTAGTTCTATGTGAAAAAGGGATATTAAATGTAACAGAGGAGCGCATTCTCCTTGGAGGCGCATTAAATCGCAGTAAAGGAAGTAAAGTTTTAAACGAAAATAGCAAAATGTTAAGCACTCTTCGATCTTCCAAAGATAGAATTTTGAATTCATACTTACAATCATTCACGAATTTCATCATAGCGTCTATTACTTGTGGTTTGTTCAGTGCCAGTAAGTGCAGTATATTTAACGGTGGTATTATTTTTTCCCGTCTTATTGTTTCCATGAAATCTTTGGTTTGTTCCTGATGTTCAGAACAGTTAAAAAATATATGATCAATATCAGATATTACATTACATGTGTCACATTTGTTTGACTCAACGATTCCTATTTTGTAGAGATGAGCTGGATAACATGCATGTCCAAATTTCAGTCTGGTTATTGTGACAATTGTTTTCCGTCCGTACTTCATTTTTTTGTGCCATATTTCCGCTGGGATTTTTGGTACTAACCGGGTATACTGTGTAGCAGAGTTTTTACAATACTCTATCCATGCTGTTTCCCAATTTTCCTTGAACCTACTCTTTGCTAAGATTGGACATTCTTCAGCGCCACTTTCATTCTCAAGGCGTTGTCCTGTTCTGATGCCTGTAACAAATCTGAAGCCGGCCCTGACCGATATATCAGCCAGCGAATAAACATGACATCACCACGAAAGAAGCAGTCCGACTTGCCGGGAAAATACTAGGCGAGTACAGAGACCACTAGAGAAATCTAGAACGATCGTTACCGATATATAAGGCCTGCTTCCCGTCCAGAGAGTGAGTCAGTATTCAGAAAGCGAATGGAGCGGTTAAACAAAGAATTCGAACAGTGAAGATAAATGAAGCGATAGTTGCTAAGTGTTGAATATAAATTAGTTGTGATAGTGAAATATTGTTAAAAATAAATTACTTTAACACAGTTAATTCTTTAATTCGTTACAGTATCTTACATCAATCTTCAGTATGCAGACTATGTAACTACTTGTAGTTCGTATTGTTAATCCCTCATTATATTGATTTTTGTATGTGTCCCCAATACCCAAGAAGCTAAATGTACGTTCTTGTTCTATTCTGATTCTTCTGTGACTTTGAAACTAATGTCAAAATGACGTAATTTGACATTCAAGGGCGTATGTTGATCCTTATGGATAGTTGAATATGACGTCAGTTTCTATGGGAAAAACATTTCCATGACTCGAAAACTTGACTCCTGGTCTGCACGCATATGTCTCTTGATACAGTAGTCCAGAAACTAATATGCCTGTTCAGGAGCATTTCTAAAGTAGAAAAAAACAAATAACATGAGATTAATTAGTTTCTATATTACTGTTTGATCTCTAGTTGACATTGGGACAATGTTCGTTATACGAAAAAATAATAGCTCCCAGTAAACGGCCAGCTGCTTGGTATTTTAAAACCCATCCAGTCTGAACAGGTTTGTTGGTGTGCCTCGTAGGCTTCTCAGTTTGTTTTCCTGGGGTTTTGATAGATATAATCCAGATGTAAGATCCTTCGATTTCAAAGTTTATATATCGATGATCTGAACTTCCCTCATCAAACACACTCCTTTTTACGTGTCAACGGAGCTAGGTTTATTACTTGCATTCAAAATGTCTAATTTTTTGCCATAATAAACTGTAGTTAATGTTCACTCCTCTTTCGATAGTGGTGTACACTAAACAAATGATGATTTTCTCAACCTTTGTTGAAATCAATTAAGGACCTTTTGTATTGATCTCCCATACATGATGTCCTTGCACTTCTATGTCTGTTTTACGTAGAGCTATAGCTCCCGGTAATCGGTTTGCTCCCAATTCTAGTTCTGTAAAATCTTCTGCCATTTCGAAATGCATCTCCAAAATTTTCAAGTCAGCCTTATATAGGCTTCCCAATTTGTTTTCTCGGGGATTTGATATCGAGGTATGAAACCAAAAGGCCAAGGATTGTGTCGTTTTACCTAGAGGGTATATAAAAATTCGAAAATAAGGAAAGATCATTACACTACAAGAGATTCAGAACTGTCACTTCAAAAGATTCGTCTGCTAAGTAATAAACCTAGCTTTGATACAGTCAGCGGAATTTGAATGATACATTTTTCCAGATAAATATCCAATAAAAGTAAAAGTAAATGCCTTTATTCTTTATTTCTAATGAATCTTTTCTTGGCATAAATATTTCATTCCTTGCGGTAGTATAACAAGTATGCAAAAGTTATTTTGAGGTTGAAGGCAATGAGGATTTGTTGAATGTTGTTATTTCCTTTCACTGTAAGTTTTATACAAAAAAACAATAAGTTTCACCGTTAACCATTGATATTATTTTCCTTGTAGGAATTAATGATTTACACTATCACTTGAACGAAAGCAAACAATTGTTCAGCACTCCGTACGAGAGTTGAACAATTCATAAGATAGATATATGGACATTATATGCAAGTTTTTTTTATGACCACCATAAATTTCCTCATGACATATTTGTGAAGATATAAAACATATTTCAAACGGAAGCTCATAATGTTTTATTAGTCTTTGTTTCTATGACAACACTTTCAGTAACTGCTTGATGTCTGCAGGTTCTAGAGCCTTCGGAACGAATAATAATATTCGCGTTTTGAATGAAATTTTATAATAATTATCATGGATAGTCATTTGAATTTGATACATCTCAAACTGCATGGGAGAGGTTCGTAATCAGTAATTTTCCGAAACATTTTGCCATCTATGAAAATGTGGATAAGCAAGTTGAATCTTGTGCCTCTACCAATTCATTAGATTATTTGTTGGACTACAAAGTAACATTGACTCTTCAGTAACCTCTGTTATAAATTAAAAATATTTTTTTTTGCGAATTTCAGCAGTAAAAAGATTTTATTTATATCGCCATAAACTATCATATTCGTTGAGAAATTATAAACTTGAGAATATACACTTACCTTTTCCGAATAAATAGCTAACGGCGCCATTGGGTTTATCACAAGAAGAGTTCCGCAACCCGCATAAGTGTGAATCAAATTCGTGGCATAACGTTGTCGCAAGGTATGGAGTATGCTCGATTCGTTGAGGTGTCGAAGGGAGGCCAAGTCTTCTGCTCGGTCGAATTGAGGAGGGTTAGCCTGCAAGATATGATATAACATATATAAGTAAGGTCGATAACATCTCCTCTTACGAAGAAGCCATCTGTGGGATCGACAGAGAACTCAGTTTTTGAATATCAAAGAAAAACGAGGCTCTTTGAAAAATGAAAACTTAATGTTCTCTTTCGGAGTTCTGGAAATATAGGCCTTGAAGAAAAAAATCACTGATAAAAACTCCTATGAATATTTCACAAACCTTTTCGATGTCATCTTCATCTACACAAAGCAGCTCTCCAGTGGATTCCAACTTGATCATCAGCTTTCCGGGCTCCTGGCTCGATCCTGATTCTTTCCTTGCGGCAGCAAATCCGCCTCTGTGCATCAGCCATAATTTTTCCGCGTCTAGCCATAACTTTTCGTTTGCCAAGAGCTCGTCCGTCTTTGCCTATAACAAAAAAAAAAACTTTGAATATTTTTGAAGGATGATAGATTTTCATGTAAGTGAAATTTTATGTCAATGCTCTTTCATATGTTATGTTGTGTAGCGTTGTGCAGGATAATGCTCAAATCTTCTATTTCCAATTGCTCGACCGTGTTGATGAAATATTTATACAAAATGTCAGTTTTGTCTTCGACTAAAAACAATTTAGAATCAGGGCATATTTAAATTAATTTCACAGTTACCTAGAGAAAGATCACTTATCACTTTTATGATAGACTCCCCGCTTTCAAATGATTAAAGCTTGAAGACTGAAATTAAGTGTTTAGCATATTAAATGAAGTTTTCGCAAACTACAGAGTTTAAAAGACTATTGATTATAATTAATTAATAGCATTCAATAAGTTGTTTCTCCGTATAAGGTTTCAACTTTGTAATTCATATATTCAGAATCCATTAGTTCGGTATAGATTGCCAGATATCATGTGTTTATCTTCTCATGATCTGAACTTTGATGAATTAAACTATTATATTCTGCCCCAGGCATCTGAATATTTATTAACAGTCGATATTTGTTTTTGCGCACAAAAAATTCTATCAATCAAGACTTCGGCCATAAATCTAGACATTAAACTCGCTTTTGCTTCACTATACTTAATAATTAGAGTATTATTACAAAGATTTCGTTTTTGAATACTTTTCCCACGTACAATCGAATATAATTAGAATAGAGTGTGAACTTCTCCTGAAATGTTTACTCAATATAGGAATCGATGAACTCATTTCGAAAAAATGTCCATCAGTATTTGATATAAGTCGATAAAATTGAATAGGGTCAAATAGAGTTCGTCACCTAGAATAAAATTAGATAAAAATATATCACCAAAGCCGATTCTGGACACCAGCCACTGAGAGCATAGCGATTTGTCACATGACCAGTTTGTTCGGTTGGTTACGCTATCGATGATAACGCAAAATCGATAACTCAACCTGACCAAACCTAACCTAACCTTACCTGACATAACTCAACCTAACGTTACCAACCGAACAAACTGGTCATGTGACAAATTGCTACGCTCTCATTGGCTGATGTCACAGAATCGGCTTTGGTGATCTACTATCGGTGATAACGAAAAGTCGATAACTCAACCTGACCAAACCTGACCTGACCTGACATAACTCAACCTAACGTAACCAATCGAACAAACTGAACATGTGACAAATTGCTACGCTCTCATTGGCTGGTGTCACAAAATCGTCTTTGGTGATCTACTATCGGTGATAACGCAAAGTCGATAACTAAACCTGACCAAACCTAACCTGACCTGACATAACTCAACCTAACGTAACCAACCGAACAAACTGGTCATGTGACAAATTGCTACGCTCTCATTGGCTGGTGTCACAGAATCGGCTTTCGTGATCTACTGATGAACTTGTGATCCAACACTAGACCGTCCTGTTTCGATCCACCTAGGTATCATCAGTCTCAATTGTCCGAAAAAGGTCAGGCCTGAAGGAGAACGACATCTATGGGATCGAAAGAAGACTCGATGCTCGAATATCAGAGGAAACTCCCCATATACGTTATTATATGCATACGCATATTTCAAGCGAAAATGAGTGGGCAATATGAAATTATAATTATACACAAAGGATATTACCTGTTGTAACCCAAGTACAGGCAAATTTAAAGAGACGTCCGGATGAAGTGAGAGGACAAATACCTGCACTAAGGCACTGCACCAAGGCACTGCACCAAGGCACTGCACTAAGGCACTGCACTGAATATGAAATTATAATGATACACAAAGGATAATACCTGATGTAACCCAAGTACAGACAAATTTAAAGAGACATCCGGATGAAAGGAGACGACAAGTAGCTGCACTAAAGCGTTCTAACCGTATAAAAGAACAAACAAGAAGATACAACGTTCAGTTCGAGTAGAGCCATGAATATGATAGCACAGCATGCTATCGAAAGCGCTCGCATATAATAAATAATAAGGAGTTATTACAGCTTCGAATCCTTTTTGTGAACAAATGATAATAATAAAAATTATTTTCTTATAAATACAAGTATTCTACTTAAAAAACATACACTTATTTATTAGCATGCTATTTCCTGAGCTTTTCAATTAATTAAGTTCAATGACTTGAAAAAAATATTTTTTTGTCAGATTAGGCGGATCCCTCTAGATAATCGTCAGATTATGAGACAGCACGTCTAAAACATAAAGATGAACCATATATATCTTAATCTGACGCGCTTGAGTATTTCAAAATGGCGAATTTTTTTCGCACATTATAATAATGGCCGCGAGTTTGCATCAGATCGAAATCGTCAGATTATTGAATGAGAGCTTTTTTTGTTGCACTTAACACCCCCTTAGAAAATCTGACGCGCTCGATACATTTTTTTTCTTTTCACTTTTAACCCTTACGTACAACCACCCACATCATGCAAACGATCAGAGTAGCATACCAACATTATTAAAAATACGTAAGGCATTGATGCTATCAATATCTGACGCGCTCGAGTATGTCCATGTTCTGTTTTACATATTTAAAAATCTATAGCTGCTTCACCCACCGATGAAAAGGTATATATTATATAACATTTTTTTCTTCTCGCTCGAGTAAATCCCCATTTTGCATCGTGGGCTCCCCTGCTATTAAAAACGTTCCAGAAATTCAATTATTCAAATTTAATTTTTTGGTAGAGATGAGAAATGAATGTGAAACGTTATATTTGACTGTAATGGGCTGAAAAGACCTCGGCCCAAGAAAGACAAAGCGTTTTTTTTCAAAATTGGCATCATGCCTGATCAATCCAGAAAAAACATGCCTACCCATTTTGAAAAAGGACGATGAACTGGAAAAACATCAATATCCTGTCATTCAATTTCGAAATATCCTGAATTTGACATCAATACCGTAGAAAATCTTTATTTCTAACGATTTCCGTTTAACGGACGTAACTTTTTCAGTTCATCATAATTCCTTTCATCAGGGCTGACCTTTTTCTTCTGGTTCCCATGGTATGTCCTTCGCTGCATTCTAATCTGATGTCAAATTGATAGACATGTTGAAACATTTCATTCAAACACGTTGATCATAACTATTTATTGTTTCGAAGAAATTACATGATGAAGTACATACCTAACCACGTCAGGATTGTTTTACAACTAGACATAAACAATGGATGAAAAATTATAGTCCAGAGATAATAGTCACAAAGCCGTTAATGTTTATTGAGTTGATATAAGTCAAAATATAACAAGAATGAAAATTTTTTTCACGGCTTTACAAAGATGCAAATATAGTGGAATATTTATATGGGGTCTGTTGTTAATCATCATGCTGTTTTATAAAATTCTTTAAATGTCCTTGATGTCATCCACGGTTTGCAAATGAATTTTAAAGATTGATCAATGAGATGAAAAGTGTACAAATCGAATAGAAACAAGTTAGATTACAATCTGATTATGTACCATTCTCAAACTTCCGTGTGCAAAATGTCAACTAACCGGTGTTCATGTGCGACTAATTTCAATACTTTATTGACTTGTTTGTTATTGGATTTTTTACTGCCGTAAAAGCAAGAACTACTTTCCGGGTGACTGAAATTATGTGAAATCAATATTTGCTATAAATATTTATGAAACTACAAATACCACTGATTTTCAATCTAAAATCAAAGATTTGCAAATCTCACATTGAAGTGTGTTTTTAGAATACGTTATAATTGATTTTCATCAAATATCTTGTTCAAATACCTGATTTTAATTGATAATAATCATCTGACAAATCGTCTCTGAACAATAATGTTATTCCAAACTATTATTTCTTTATTACCTGTACAATATCAACAAAGTTATTTTGGTACACCCTATATTTCTAGAGGCATTCGAAATACCTTTTTCGATATTGATTCAAGATAAGGAATCGATCGGAAGGACAAGGAGTGCATAAACAGCAAGAGGTTTACTTTGACATTTAGATCAAATAAATAATCTTGACAAATCGCTGGGAGATATTTCATTTTGAGAAAATGAGTAATGGATTCGTGATCGTTTTCATAACATTGACATATTTCGCGAAAAGGTGTAGCTGCTCATTATGACGCAATTTCTAAATAGGAAGAAAAAGTATCGATCTATAAATCCTCATAGATAGTTTTATGGACATTATGTTATCAATTCTGACATCGTGGCTATTAGTCCGGCAGAATTAGACGTGTGGATAATGTGTTATTGCACGTTATGATATCGATTTCCAAAAACTCGCCAACAAGTACGGTGGAAATAGATACGTCATTAACAGGTAATAACTCTTCGGCAAACAGCAACGCATCAACAAGAGAGGCGGACTACCTGAGTCAACATAAATACAACCTACAAACTAGAAATCACCAGTTGATAAAGTTTTCATTGTTGAAATCCATATTCTGGTTTGCTTTCGTTAAACATTTGATAGGTATTTGAAACATCAAACCTGTAGCCTCCTCTCAACTAAACGTGAATTTTACCAAATAGTGAAAACAAAAACCAGTGTATCTAAAATTCCACTCACCTCGTCGAGTTTCTCCTTCGCCATTTCATCGAAATCCTTGAAACAATTATTCTTATCCACCACTTTGAAAAACCCCGGAGTTTTCTTATAATTGCTCATGAACAGGATGTCTTCGTAGCTGATACACTTTATTTTCGCGAGCTTCTTATTATTCAAGCTCCTCCTGCTGAAGCTATTTCTACCGGGATTTCTTTGAAAAGAACCCTGCGGCTGCTTGTCGTCGACTTTCCTAAACGAGCCGTTTCTAGACCTGGAAAAATTACTGTCCTTCGCCTCTTTCCCTGAAGGTTTGCTCTCCTGACTCAGGTCAATCGATTTTTTCCTCAAGGAACCGTTCCGAGACCGAACGAATCCACTCTCATGTTCGATAGGGGGTTTTTGCTTCGAAACTTCATCAACGGTTTTCCTAAGTCCTCCCATCCAGCTGTTGTCGTCGACGTCAAATATATCCAGGTGCCTCATTTTGGCCGTTTTGGCGAAGGAAGATTTGGTAACGTTGTTGAAGAGCCTACTGGATACATCACCGCCCTTTCTCGCATCGTCTGCGACCTCCGAAACTTTCGTTTTGTCTCCCAGGGAGTCCAGAGAATCCGACTCGCTGAAGTTCTCCGAGCTTACGCTGGCAGTTTTCTTTTCCTGCTTCTTGGCAGACCATCTCCCCGAAGAGTTTCTCTGGAAAGGGCTTTTTTCTGTTTGGCTCGCAGTCAGAGATTCGTTTTCGACCTTCTTCGATCTCTTTGACCATCTTTTGGAATTGTTCCTCTGCAAAGGGCTATGAGTGTGATCCAAATCGCATTCCTTATCGTTCGCAGGGCCGTAATTTCCGCTTCCGTGCGCAGTGCCCTTGCACGAGGTGTGCTTCTTTGGTAACGGGGACGAAACGTCGCGCCGGAGGGAATTTTCGAAAGTTGACGCGACGTGCAGCATCTTCAACTTGGTGGATTAACGTCTTGTTTATGCAAAGAATGTCAAGGTTGATTGACTGGTTCAGGATGATTTCATTGTGGTTTTGATCGAGCTACGGTTCTATTGTTTATATTTTATTGATACAGGTGTGCAGGTTAATTAGCGATTATTGTTCAGAACCAGTCGTTTGATAACTTGAATGGTTTGCATTACACGTAGGAAATTGAATTAGAATAATTGATAAAAAAATCATTAGCATATAATTAATTCTAACGAATTGTTTCGTCGAAAATTTATTCATCTCCATAAATTGTGCGAGTATGGGAGATAATATATTATATTTAATGTTAGGTTGGTCCTACTGATGTATGAATGAGTAGTGTCTACAAGAAAAGTTCCAGAGAAAAGAAAAAACTAATTAGACATGATCTTTCAGCAAGGACTTTCGAACTTCAACATAATGTCACATAACTGGCTTTATAGTTATCTAACAGGCAGGAAGCAGTTAGTAAAACTCCAAGGAAATACATCGCATATTGAGAATAATCCATCAGGTGTACCACAAGGTTCGGTTCTGGGTCCTATACTTTTTCTGCTTTATCTGAATGATCTGGTAATCATTGACATTAAAGGAAAGTTCACACTTTTTGCGAATGATACCACGATCCTTTGGCGTACAAATGAAGATAGTCTCAAAGACATCATAACCCTGGATCTCTATAGGGTTAAACAGTGGTGCGATTCAAACTCCTTATGTTTCAACACAAACAAAACAAACATAGTTTGCTTCAAACTCAATTTTGACGACTTACTTATAGAAAATCACGCATTCGTTAACAAACAAACAAAAAGTTTATTCCTTTTAGAAACCGTTTGCCTAATTCGCAAAAAATACTCCAACTCAGCAGTAAATAATGACGGATGTTACCACAAGAGAGGAAGTCGAAATTTACCCTTGCCAATCCCAAAATCAGCAATTAAAAATTTTTCTTTGATATATGAGAGCAAAAAATATACAACCACCTTCCAATGTGCTATAGGGCAATAACAAATTTTAAAAAATTCAGAAAATTAGTTAAATTAGTACTTCTGCAAAAAGCCGATTATGACTTAAAGGAATATTATAATGATGTATTTTAACTCTTAGTATATCAGATGCTTACATATCTGTAATGATTTATTTATTTATTATCTGTAATGGTTTACATATTGTTTTATTTATGTGTGTTCGTATATGTACATTTTTTAACCCTATAATGATGGTTCCCTGTATATCATAATTTTAATATTTTTTTGTTAAAAACTTTAACAATGTTGACTCCATAAAGTTCACTAGTTTGCTCAATAAGGATTTCTTGGACAATAAAGCATGATTGACCCGTGTCTGACAGTTCATGTAATCAATATTGGAAATTTTCAAAATACATTATTAATGGCTATTTTCCTAAAGTGTTGTATTGTCCAAAGTAAATACAAACTGTTTCTGTTATCTTTTTATGTCATATTTTGTTACATATACATATATTCAGTATCTACTTGGAATTGTATATTATTTTATAGTTAGTATGACCAAGTAGCGATAGCTAATATGTGTAATTGTGTTTGTTTGTTTTTTTATTTGATTATTTTAACCAAGTTTTGTCAATAAGATATGAATCTTCAGACAATAAAGCATATTTTGAATTCAACTTTGAGGGGACTATTTGCAATGTGGTCCACTGGTTCAGTAAACGAACAACCAACGTCCGTACACAAACAGAACGCAAGATCTGCCGAAAACATCGCCTCTGTCTGTGAGAGTGTGCGGGAGAATCCTGAGAACAGCAAGGCGTGCAATTTTTTGTGTCATTATTACCATTCCAAGTGAACTCGTTCACCCATTTTTGAACATTAGATCCATTGTTAATGACTGACATGATTGATATTCCATTTGTGATAACTTGAAGGCTAATTGTAAGTCAAGAATCTCTAGTTCTTTCTTCTTGATTTCTGCCTGAATCATCAACTCTTTTTTGACTTTTTCTGTCCTTTTGGACTTTTTAAGTCCACTAGTCTTGGACTTAAATCGATTTCCTTTCTTGAATGGAACCCTGCCGTGACATTTTCTCTATCTGTCTGCACATGAGTTTTCAAAAGTGGAGTTATTGTCATCAGTGTCATTACTCTGCTTCAACTGTAAGCCACAAGAAAAAATGTCTTGTCCCCCTTCACTACTGATAGGAATCGGTTCCTTTTTCCGTTTTTTTCACTAATGTTTCGGTAAAGGTCTAGGAGGACCAATTAATGTTATGTTTTACCTGAAATACCTAGGTTTTATCCGGCTCGAAGGACCAATTAATGTTGTGTTTTATCTGAAATATCTAGGTTTAATCCGGTCTCGAAGAAAGAAATATTAAATCGGTCAAATTTAGCCTGATTTATGCGCCAGAGTAGAAAAAATTAGACGTTTTCCAAAAAATGAGCATTTTTCACAAGTCATAACATTATATTGAAATTCATAACGATAAATGAAAGTGTACGGAAAATGTCAGCTTACGAAGTAGTTTTACTGATTTACTGACATCATTAATTAATACAGTCTGAATTTGTGTATGTAGAAAGCACACCCATTTAGCTTTAAACGGAATTAATGTGTATTCTATTAGTCGCTAGTTTCACGAAAAGTAAACAAACATCAAACAAGTGTTACTCCCATCGATGCAACAGCCCACTCGAAAACATTTCAAATAAAGTAGCGAAAGGAACTGACTGTGAAAATTCAACGTTTGCGAAATAAATATTCGATTGGTCATACTTTCCTGTGAAACATACAATTGAAATAATAACTAGTTATACAGTTTTTGTATCAAACTGGAAGGGGTATATTTTTTGGCGAAAAATAATTTGCAACGGAAACCAAAATAAACTCTTTGTAACTCAGGAATTATTTTCAGATACGAACTGAAAAAAACTACTTTCACATGAATATTTTATTTCTTTTCCGTAAAAACGATACACTGTGTTATCCTTCGTAAAACCCATACGAGACTTGTTAAAAAAAGCGATTAGCGATTAGTTCGTAACTTTTTTGCCAAAAACAACACCGTTATCATGCCTCGGCCACTGTATTCACCAGATTTGACTCCCTGCGACTTTTTCTGTTCAAGTACATATCAAAACTGATTCAGGAATTGGAATGAACGCTGGCCCAAGTGTGTATTATATTTGAGAGGGAATAATGTGAAGGGGATAAATAGAAATTGATGAATTTGTTGAGAAAAATGAAACTAGAATTTTCTGATGGGTTGTTGATGCTTGATAGAAAATGGATTAGAAACAATCTTACAAGAACCATCGGTGGTCATTGATAAGTAACGACCTTTAAGAAAATCTGGTGACTGCCTGGAAATTTGGAAATCTTGCCATAACTCAATTGGTTAAACTATACTCGTATACGTTTTTCCATTGGTAATAGCTGGACATACCTCCTAAACATATTTTTTTTCTATTCAATATCCCATTCGTCTACTTTTCTGAGCTGAGCGTGACTTTTCATAAGAATATCAACATGTTAGTTCACATTAGATTTACCAGTAATCACTTTGCTCCATTTTTCCGTCATTTTTACATTATTCAAAGTTTATTTTGATTTTCATATACGAGTATTAAAAAAGTACAAATATATTCTCAGTTCATGAAACATACTTATCAAGTTAAAACGGTAGGTACTACTTACAAAAATAAATATAAACAAACCGTGGATCTAATCTTAGTAAGCCTAGACATCAAACACTCCTATGTATACCAATATAGTTTATGTTCGTCCTTAGAGAAAATTCTGTCAATAATGATAGTCGTAACTTTACAGACACATCATTAATAAGTTGACCACACCTTCCAACAACTGAATCTATCTATTTTATCGACCAATATCTGAGATATTCTATAACACAGCTATAATTTTATCACAATGTGAAACGCCACTTAACTGAAATACAGCCAGCTTTATTCGGGTCAAATAGTGACCTTTTTGTTGATAATTCTTTGAGGAAGGTGAAGTTCCTAGCACGGGTGCTGCATCAGTACCATGAATATGCATAGAAGAGGGAATAATGCATCCCTAAAAAGTTAGGTTAGGTTAGGTTGAAAAATGTTTTGGTCGTGGTTATATTTTTGCTATTTCTTTCCATTGCTTTTTTGGATGCGTCCATTTCTCCCAAGGCATGATTTTTTCAGTTTCATCGTCAGATGACTTAGTCAGGGTGCCTCACTTCGATTGAAATGTATGGCTGGTCACCTGTTGATCTTGGCTTGCAAGCATTCTGAATATTTAGAAATATCCAGCGGAGGCTCGTCAGAGGAGGCAAGGGAGGCTTAACCTCCCCATAAAATTTGAGGCTATTCATTGCAATAAATTGAAAAATATTGACAAATAATTATGATTATTTTTGTCTAAAAATGCTTGATTATCATTACTTTACTATAAATTTTTATTATAAATACATAATATGCCCGAAAAAACACTATCACTCACTACGTAGTACGTACCACACTGTATCCTGCATCAAAACTCAAATGCACCGCCCATGAACAAATAACAAATAAACCATCAACCAGAAATAATAAATGTCATACGTTGCAAGGGAGCCAAGTCTCCGACCGCTTTAAAAAACACAGGCTCCACGAGACCGATCCAACCAGCGACATACGTCCCGATTTGCAATTTCAGTTGCAGTAATTATAGCGTTAGAGGAGGCTAGCCTCCAGTTGGTCTCCGTTAGTGTATGACTGCGTTTGTTTTTTATTTAATTATTGTGAACTTCTCTTGAAATGTTTACTCGAATATGGGAATCGATGAACTCATTTCGAAAAAATGTCCATCAGTATTTGATATAAGTCGATAAATTTGAATAGGGTCAAATAGTGTTCGTCACCTAGAATAATAAGATGAAAATAGATCACCAAAGCCGATTCTGTGACACCAGCCAATGAGAGCGTAGCAATTTGTCACATGACCAGTTTGTTCGGTTGGTTACGCTATCGGTGATAACGCAAAGTCGATAA